GTATTAATATCATACCTAAGTTGTCGTTTGTTAGTTGCTCCAACATCTTGGACAATGAGAAAGGATAATGTGAACCCATCTGGGAGGTCCTCACTGCTACCTCCTTCTTGATTTGTGATAAGACGTATGTCAAGTTATCTACATGGAGACAGATAAAAATATTTACATTACATTAAAAATAATAATAATACGATAGTAATGATATGAATAGTAGATTAGTAGGCTGGGGAAAAATTAATAGATAAGTAGATGTGAGAGGTGGTGGTAGAATATTTAGCAGAATTTGGCTAGGATGGTAGATTAGCAGGAGTATGCTAGGGGTAGTATACTGCTTTATGCAAGGCGGGGGGTGGTAGTAGATTAGTAGGCTGGGAGTTGGCAACTTTGAGACATAAATTATACTATATTATGTTTACAGAGATAAATAATAATGATTTGACTCTAATATATGTGTGTCTCCACCATAGGAATAAGTAGGCATACAGAACATTATATTCCCATGTGAGTGCATCCAGATAAACATTAAATTATGCATTGCATATCAGCCAATCACAGGAGAGAGCCCAGGATGTCTACATTTTCAACAAGCATAGAAGGATACTGTTCATGTAGTACCTGTATTACAAAAAAATAACACTGCTCTATTCAAATATGTTATGAGTGAACTTCTTTTTACATTTAACCACAATGCAATATAACTTACCGTGTTCCTTTTCTAGGCCATGTAGCTTGACCTTATTCGCCTCATGCTGTGCTTTCTTTTTTAGACGACATGCTCTGGGAAAATGAGAAGATAATGTGGAGATTGTAGACACAATTTTAAGATTTTTGTTCAATTAAAATAAACTTCACACAAAATAACCTTGAAAGTCAAAAGATATTTTAAATTAAATAAACATATTTAAATAACTGATAATCAATCATTCAATAAATCAACAAATAATAAATCAATTAATTAATAAATAAGTAAATCAGTCAGTCAACCAATCAATAAGTCATTCAATCAGTCTTTGAGTTATAAATTTCATAATGCATAAAGCATTTGATGTGCAAATGGGAATATTTGAAATCCTATTTATGGTTTAACGGACACTGACTTTGATAGACATATATAGTACAGTACTGTACATAATAATGAACACTATGCATGAAACAGCAAATTATATTAAGCCTATCCTCCCCTTGAAAATGCTAATAAAATTCAAACTGTAAAGAATAATGAAGTGTTGATGGAGTTTGCACTAAAAAACATCCACCACTGAACTAATCTACAGCTACTCATACTGTACCTGGAGATCATTCTTTAAACCTGAGATTAATATTTTGTTATGATCTGATCTAATTGAATGAGCATGATAATGAACAAAGTATTAGAGTGAATTATATTATTTCTTTCCCATGGACTGCAGTTGCTCTTACAGTCTGTTGTCTTCAAATGCATATTCATTACTGTTGCCTAGCATATGTTTCTATACAATTTGCTTGAGAATTATTACCACAGAAAAATCACTATTCATCTCATGTTTTCATATAGTGTATATACATTATAAATTTTTCATATTCAAATTGGATATCTGTTTACTGTTCATATTGATAATTGTGCTTTATTGTTTCTTATGTTGTAATTGGTTACGCCCAAACAAAATGTCATCTTGGATAACAAATTTGTTAATGTGTAGGCCAACCACAGAGCTATTAAACAACTAGAGTGCTGACTAGGTGACAAAGAAATGCAGAGCTGTATATGTGTACCATATAAGATGGCCGCTGTAGGAAAGCGCCACCTTCAGGCTTAGTATACATATTATAACCATAAATAAGCCCTCTGACTAACTATTATTTCATATAACCATTATAATTTATATTAATAAATTATTACACTATTGTAGCCAAAAAGAGGCCAAGTGGAGGATTTGATTTAATAAAGTACTGAGGAATGAAAATCAAAATCGCTTGAGTTTCAACATAGCTGTATTCAAACTCTATTGTTAAGTTGAGGGCACCACTGAAACGATACTTAGCATATTATGATTGGCTGAATCTACGGCAGCCATCTTGTATGGTAAACACACACAGCTCTCCATATTTTGAACATCAAATACATTGCAGTTTGTGCTCTCGTATTCTTAATATAACTCTAAGAGGCCAACAAAAAAGAGTTGAGCTGTAGCATGGTGGTTTACATGACAGCCTTCCAATCCCTTTCCTGTTGGATTTACAGTGTAGGCTGCTTAATATCAAAGAAGTTAATATGGTATGAATATATGAATGAATGAAAAGTAAAAAAAAAAAAATATATTGTATACCTTGATGCAAGTTTGTTCTTTTCCTTTCGAGATTTTGTTCGGGAATTCGGAGGTAGCCTCTGTAGGGGCAGCATATCGGCAATCACTTTATTCAGTTTACATAGTTCATTACCGATTTGTAGTAAACGTTTTGGATTTGGCGTCCAATCGTCATAGTCGCCTCGACGTGATCGCAGGGCTTTTGGAGTTGGTCCTATGATACTTGAGATCCCTGTTAAAATATATACAAAATTCACAAAATAAGAATTTTATAATTTTAAATAATACTCATTCTCTCCAATAGTTTGTGAACACTTGTCTTACTGTCACCATTTTATCGGGTATTTTTTTGAACCAGCACCACCAACGTCTTGCAACTTTTCACTGGGGACATCTAGCAGCCTAGTCTGAGCAAATTTCGATTTTCCTGACACATCTTCTTTTGAGTACGTTGACAATCAAAAAACTGCATGTTTTATGCGCCCCTATTTCCTATTTTTGTTTTGGCATTTTGTTTTTAAAAACTATCCTAGGCCTCTACAAAGCAATGTCATGTACCAGTCACAGAGCACTGTAAACACTAGTAACTATGTAGAGCGAAATGCCTAGGCACCTCCCCAGTGGTAGTTTCCGGGTTCTCGGCAATTTCCATTCCAAATTTAGCGAAAATGGTGTATAGCATATTTTTATGTGCAGGAGTTAAATAAATACATAAAAATAAAAAAAATAATTTCAATTATATAGGAATGCTGACTTAATTATAATTATAAAATTCTGAACATTAAAATTTTTATCAATTACTTACAGCATGAACAACTTTGTTTCCTTATATAATAATAAATAGAAACCTGTATGTTTTTTCCCAATTCAAATCTAACATTTGTTTAACATACAAAATACAAAAAATTAAATATTAATTTTTATTGTTCAAAATTTAATAGCTCAACACTATAACAATATATCTTTTGCATTTTTTCATAATTATTGAAATTGCAATAAGATTTGTCATATTGAAAGTAGCTACAGTAAATTGTTTTCTTAAATTCTATAGTTTGACTGACATTGTCAAATCACAAAGTCATCGTCAATGACAAAGAGAATCAGTAACTTATGAATATTTAAAAAGGCTCTTTGTACTGACTGGGTGATTCCAGGAAATCATTGTGAAAAATCAATATGATTATCGGTTTATTTACTTCCTGATCAAACAGTGCCTTTAAATAAATTCAAGCTTTACCGAGATCAGAAATATCACTTGCATCGTCTGCCATCTCATCATCGCTCACATCGTGATCATCTCGCTCACTCCCCAATCCTTCATCGTGGGAATCAAGATCATCATCATCATCTTCCTCTTCTTCCTCCTCCTGTAAGATGAAGCAATAACACTGAACTCCACATTACACTGCTAAATTACAGTGCGCTATACAAGTAAATACTTTAACACTTAAAACCAAAACTAGTGTATTAACAACAAAATGAGATGATGCTGATAATTATGACAATGGTAGCCTTTGTGGTGTCAAAATAATAGTATCAAAATAATACTGTAATGTAACAATTCCTCAATGTAGTTGATATTGATGTTTTAATTTTGATATGAGAAGATGATGATGTGTGAATAAAGATGATTAGTACGATATTCAAGTTTAATTTATTATATAAATTCATTTGCATGCAATGGAGTGTTCCTATTTTCAATGAACCAAAAAACAAAAACTGATGACTAACTAAAGATCTCTCCAGTGACCACACTATCGATTTTTCTTGGGACAAAAAACTGAGGCATATTGTGGCAAAATGGCTAAGTTGTAGCAAAAATTGAAATCCAACTTATTGGTATTTTCAGATACCTGAGTATGCGATCTTTAAAATGAAGGGGTCATTCATTGAAATTGAACATTTGAAGCATTAGTTATTGGAAAGTGAAAGTACAGCAGTTTTTGAGTAAAGATAAACATGATTTTGAGTAGAGTAATTGCCTTTCAAATTTATTGTGCATACATTGTTTTAATAACAGAATTAACTATCAAAACAACGTTAAATAAACAATTTGTAGACCACTTCCAGAACTAATACTTTGGGACATGATTAATAAAGACATTAAATTATTGATTTATAGTGAAAAAAAAAATTTGGAATTTTAGGCAATTATTTGATCTCTCATATTATTATAGCTCATTTACACAATACTGGCCTGTGCAACATCTTAACCATTTCGACATGCCTCATATGCCCATATATGTCACGATGTGCCTATATATGGTCATGATGTGATGTCATTATGACCATATATTAGGCATGTCACAGGTGTTTGTCAAATAAAATTTGAGTGTAGACTGGACAGGGCTTAAGATTATTTTTAGGCAAGCCCCAGCAATGGCCCCTTAAAATTCAACTTGTTTTTGGTTTGTTTGCATAATTTTTATGTTTAGTATACTGTATTTTGGCTCCAGCTCTCAATATCCTCTATAACCATGTCATTGGCTCAGTCTTGATTGGTTGGGAAACCATCACAACTCAGCACTGGATTCTATCTTCCAGTTATTAATAGGAATAATAACTCTCACCACAATACTGGATAATTTAGAGCTGAACAAATTATCTGCTAATGAGGGAATCCATAAAGCCCACTCAAGGTCACAGATATTTCAGGCCGGATGAACAGAGCATTTTATTGACAGTAAAGGAACATTCTACGATGGATAAAGATCATGAACTTTACATTGTTGATTTACTTGTAAGAGTTTGATGTAATGTAACCTAATTGTGGTAAAGCTTGGTTTAACATTTTGTATTTTTAATGTATTGAACATTGAAGTCATTTATTAATATTGAAATACTAATTTGTCCAATAGGTTTAATTCACTATTATTATAATTTGAGTCCACTTTTTCTAAGAAAGAACCAAATACCAATCTTCAATCTACACTAAGCTAAGGCAAGACTTTTATATTCCTTGTTTCACATACTTATTTTTTAAATGATTATTGGAGGAGGGCAGAATAAAAATAAAATTTTTGTTTTCTTATTTAGCAATAGTTTTGACAAAATCATCCAATGAAAAAGCTTATCCTTTTAAACTAAAGGCTACCAGAAAAACGACCATAACCCACATCACTGCTTCCGTTTACCAGCAATTTGAGGTGCAAAGACCGGCTAGTACATGACTCACAGGTGTTCTCAGTTTTGTGGGCATCTAACTAAACAAATTAAAAAACAAAACAAAAAAAAAATCAATTCACAATAAATTAAGGGTGCACTGTAAGCATTCAAAAGTATTAAATTTATTGTTCATATTTACTGGATATGCACAAAAAGACAGTACATATTGTTATCATGACATTAACCATGTGATGCTATAAATAAAATTCCTAGCATACTGTACAGGATTTGGACCCAGACCTCTGACAACAGCAGGCAAGTATCCTAGCCGAGCCACAGGCTCTTATGGGCTGGAGCTTAACCCCAGTTTCAAGTAGATGACGCGAGGAGAGCATGATGCTACCCCTGGTTAGGACGCTGGTCCACCGCAGGTTATTCCCAGCAATTTGTCGATATACCCATCGGTACGAATGGGTATAGACTGAAGCAATGTAGATAAAGTGTCTTTCTCAAGGACACAAGCGAAATACACAGCAAAGGATTGAAACCTCGACCTCGAGGGCTGAGAAACCAAACCATCTAATTCCACTGCACCAAACCACCTCCTGACAACAGCAAGTGGGCTGCTTAATATGTTCAATATACTAAAACCTCTAATGCATTATAAAGTTTGGCCGGTTGGGAATTATTATACTGTATCAGTTTTTGAGGCAGTGAGTAAAAAAATATAAAGATTTTTGGACATGAACACATAACTTTGGATTGCATTCCAAATACCAATCCCACCAATTTAAAATGCAGACTACTGTATGTTTCCACAACTGTTATGAAAATAAGGTATTACAGTATTTGCATAGACATGAACTCTAACCTATATATTATTCATTGTAAATATTGGAACAATACAATGGGGTGATGTACTGTATTTAACCTTTCATATGAAAGAACTTTACATAACAAGTCAGAATATTTACATTTGTCTGGAGTTCAGGATGTGTCAGACCTGATCAAACTAGGCTACTTTTTGTTGATAAGTTTTATGACAGTTATAAAAATAATGTATTGCACCTCATATTGTATCAAGTGCGAGACACAACTTAACAAGAATGACACTGGGATAAGCATGTTACGGTAAAATGCAGTTTATTAACTTTCGAATCGGAACTGAAGATTTTTTGTTAGCACTGAATGCCAATTATCTAAAAGGCAGGGCAATACCTCCCCCCTCTAAATATGTATTTAACAATTTTCTGCATTTTTGATGGACTAATGATTGTTGAAACAAAACAAAAAATAAAGTAAAAAAATAAAAACATGAACATTAATAATTAACACTAATGAAGATGTTCCAAACCTCAGAAGCAGAACTGAAAATCTAAGATTTTTTGTTAGCAGTGAATGAGGCACTATCTAGAGGTCAGGGCAATGCCTGTCTGTGCTAATCATTCTTTCTACCTAGAAAATGTATGTTTTTAAGATTTTTTTTGCAATTCTGAGAGATTATTAATGAAGGGTGTAAAGACAAAATGTTGTGATCGCTGCAACTATATAATTATACTCTTATAAAATGCATTTCTGATTTGCAGTGAGACCATCTTTATTATATTTATCAATTATCATACCGCGTCACTATGAGCAGATGGTTTGCAAATTTCTCCATCACCAGTGCTCCTTATTTCTCAATCTTGTAAAGAATTTTACAAAATTTTGGAAAATCTTGTGATAAACTTGGAAATAAATGAACAAATTAGAAAAAAAAAAAACTAACCTCAATTTGCTGCATCTGGATTGACGTTCCTTTTCGTAGATGAGGTGATAATCTTTCTTTTGACTTTCTAGGTTCCTCTTTCCTTCCTGCTACTTCGCTAATTTTCCTCTTTTCTCCTTTCATTGTTTTCCCTGAATTGCCGTGGTTCTTTGAGGAACGTATCATAAATAAATTAGTGTACTCTATCGGACTTTTCTCTCTCAAAAGGTTTGAGTCATTTGCTGCCTTTGGTGGCGGGCTATCTTTAGCAAGATTTAAAGCACTTATGCTTTCTTTTTTCTCCGTTTTGTTTCTTACTGAGAATGAACTCAGCACGGATGATGAGTCATGACTTTTGATGTCATCCTCCATTGACGTATTTGTGAAAGTTACATTTGATGCGAACCCATGCTTGGAGGGTCCCTGAGGCCATGAGTAAGATTGCATGGTTGTTTGGAGGGTTTGCTGGGATTGGACTTTGGACAATACTGGGATGCTTACGGAACTCTGTTTTTTAGTTTGTGTTAACAATGACTGTTGAGATAACTCCAAACCTTGTGAATCTTCCATATTTAATTCCGCAAGGGTTGGATCGTGTGCGAAGTCATCGACCTGGTGTTGTAGAGGACTGCTGATGTCATCAAGACCATAAAAATCACTTTCATATGATCCCCACGGCGATTCTCTTCCACCATCTTTGAAGCTGCATAAACTTTCATTAAAGCTTCCGCACAGACTGTCCGTGAAACTTCCACATACGCTCTCATCCAACGACCCACTACAGATAGATAAATCGTTAAAGAAACTATCATTAAGGGCATCTCCACTCGGGCTAGTGGCCATGATCCTTGGCGGTCTGTGGCAAGTTATGTTTGTTAGTCCGATATTTGCTGAAGGAATTGGTTTACTGTATGATACACTGTGAGCCCCTTCTATATCATATGTGAACATAGAGGGTGGGCTTGCAGCAAAATCGTTACAATATGGTGACTGTAGTTGGTATTGATTTGGTACACACGACTCCCCGGACACCAAATCTCTGAACGAGTAAAAATCCATCACAGGCTGTATGAAAAAACGAAACAAAAATGTTATAAATCTTAAACTATGCTACAAATTTTTAAATAAGTTATTTGAAAAAAGTACAGTTTTAAGCAATTTCCATCTAGCTGGTTATTTGTAATTGGATTAAGAACTATGGAGCAGATTTATCTAATGACCACAAACTCAAATTTTCATCTGGTAAGTCGCCAGAAAATTAATTTACATTCATAGCTTCTTTGTTTTAAAATTAATTTGCTAACCTTTCACTGCCTGAATGTAATGCATAATTCTAAATTAGCCAAGTACTTCAAACAATAGTACAGTACAGATACATTTTAATGACAGGGATGTTTATCACTCATAAGTTCCAGTTTTACATCATCACAAATCTCTTTGGACAAAGGGTTATTGAAAGTGTATTAGGTATAATAATCCAATATCTCATGAGGTAGGCCAAGTGTACAAGCGTCTATTAAATGCAGGGACCTTGGACCAAAAGCAGAAGAGATGAAAATCTTTCTTTTCTTCCTTTCAACTTTATTTAGTCCTTGTGGAAAATATTTCTAGTGTACATAAATTTTCATAGCATACATATAAAATACAAATACAAAGATAATACCGTATAAAAAATATTTAGGCCTGTAATATATAATAATACAAGGCCTTTTCATTTAAATCACCATAAATTAAAACATCATAAAAAGTAAATCCATTAGTCTGTTTCTTTTTGTTTATCTATTCGACCAAAAAAATAAAGAGAAATGGTCGGGGGGTGGGGGAGGGGAAGCAGTTTAAGTAAATGAATCACTATACTCTTTCAAGTCAGCTTCCCCCTCAAAATATACATTTCGATATGAATATAAATGACAATGGTGGCTATGTGTTACAGTAAAGAATACATGGGATTGGGCAATCTAACAGGGACCATTGGATGAGTTAGTCTACGGTATATCAAGTCTCCAGCGAGTAACAGGAGTCTCCCTGAAATCAATACGCCTTCCACACTCCCATATGAGCAAGCAACAAATTTCCCGAAACTAAAACTTTCTGCAAATTCATGCTATTTGCATTTTTTTACTACTTTATTACCACTCTCTAATAGTCACCTTGTGAGGGGTATCACCACATACAAAAAATAAATTTGGATGTTTTAATAGAATTTAGAAGGTTCATTTTAAACCAGATCTCCTGGAATAAGCTTCTTTCAACCTGGGACCTCTGCAGTACTGTAGGCCATTAGTCAGAATGCAGTCCTATAGAACTAAACTGATACCCTTTAAAGTTTTTAAATGAATGTATGATTCATTCATATTCAACAACCACAACTGTCATAGTCTAATCATATTTTTTTTAAATGTTACTCCTCACCACAGGCCACCTGTCAAATGTTGCATGATCGTGGGAAATATCACATACTGTATCTTCGCCAATAGATTAATAGTGCTATAAAACTTTGCAGTACAGTTTTGATACTTTTAAATTGAATCATCTCTTTTGTTGTGCAAAACAGATGACATGTCCTGCCAATAATGCAGCATTTTGGAAATTCTTCAATGAGTCATTCCATCCAGAAGTTCCGGAAAATTTATAATTTTTCCCTCTTTCAAAGGTCACATTATTAAAGACTGCCCATCGGTGGCCCCAGAGAGTCCAACCAAAGCTCTGAACCAGGCTGCCTACTTTAGGACCTCTGGTCAAGACCCCAAATTGAAATCCCAGGGAAGGTGGAGAAGGAAGGAATAGATTTTACAGTATGGTTTTAAAGGATGGTAAAAGTTGTGCTTTTAGATGCACTCCCAATATGGACATGGTATAATTTCATGATATACTGCCTTAAAAAAATAACTGTGAATGCAGGACTCTCTATTTTTGTTTCATGTTTGTTAAGCGCATTGAGATCCCAACAATACGTGCTCTATAAGTCGATCCATGTGATGCCAGACAATTATTGGTATCTACTACAGTTACTGCTGTCATCATTTGCCAATGTAACATGTAACTATTATAATGACAGCATGAAATCAGTTGAATATAGTCTTGAAATGGTGGGGAGAGCAGGCTGAAGAGCAAAGGTGAAGTTGGTGGCTCGATAGTTAGGTGAGGGGCCCTAGCTCGCAAGTTAAGGTGATTGAGGTGATTTTGAACTACTGTACTTGATTGTGATTTTTTAGTAGGGAGAGTGGTTGGGGCAGTATTTCCTTATTTTTTTTTTTTTGAGGT